AAAAAAAAAAAAAAAAAAAAAAAAAAAGAAGTATCCCGTCTATCTGTTATTTACGTCTAAATAAATATACTCTAGGGGTCCTTATCTAGTCCTCCATTCATTCATAATACAACAATATCTGTTACGCTATCTCTGACTCAGATGGTTGGACTTGAACCGTTGATCTCTCGTGGGATCAACGATACCAGCTAGCAAGCCATCGCTGGTTGCCCGATTGATTCGATGAATGAACAAAGGGAGTTTATGAGGAATGCTGCAGACCGGAGAAGGGCACATTCGCAATTCCGCCCTCAGGCTGGGGAGTCAGCAGAGAAGAATCACTTAGCCACTTCTGCTCTCTATACCATGGACACGGACAAGTCACTGCAATGCCGCCGGCGAGTACTCGCAGTAGGACTATCCTGCTGAAGGTATCGGACCGCAAATACCACCAAATGCATTCCAAACGAAACCGTCTATAGAATGAATGACTACATCACTACCACGAGGCGCGCCTTACTTAACATAGACTAACGGTAGTTAACGTGGACTAACGGGAGTTAAGTCATGACAAACGGTTGACTCAATTGAGCCAACAACTTTCTCTTAACTTAACCTTTGCTTACAACTTGTTCGGTGGAACCAGAACCAAATTCCGTTGGTGAAGTCTTATTCTGGTTGAGCCAATCCAAAAAAAGCGTGGCCTCGGACTGAGTGATGCGCAGACTTGAGACTTTATTAACTTTATTATCAATTGAATCCGGTCGTCATGGTTGGTCCGACTCCGACTATGTCCTTTGTTCGTTAACCGCGGCTGTAACCTAAGTTAGGCCCGAGTCCACCTTGCACTTTCCCGAGTTAAATTCGGCCGTTTACTGTTTCCCTGTTTGTAGTCAGGCTTCAGCGACGACGTAGCGGTCCTCCTGTCCCCCTCCCCACCTACCCCCCTTCCTCCTCCTCCTCCTCCTCCTCCTCTTCTTCCTCCTCCTTTCCTTCTCCCCCTCCTCTTCCTCCTGCTCCTTCCATCTCCGGTACCTCCTCCTCCCTCACCCTCTCGTCTCGACGGTAATAAATCCAGCCCATCTTCCCGACCTGTGCTGCTCCTTCAGCTCGCGTAGCCCAGGAGCCAAGCCCTCCACTTGTCGAAAATTTTCATTTCGCACCGTCGATCTCTTTAATCTAGGGTCAGAAATGAAGGATACGGGTAAGTGGGACTTGGGCCCAGGCTGTTGCTCTGTTCTGGCCGTCTGAGCGGGAGACTCCCATCGACCTACAGCCTACAGGCTACAGGTAGTGCCGTTTTGCCCCAAGTAGAACGCACGTTATTACCCTTGTGTATCTCGACACGCATGTCATTATCGCTATATCTATAGACTGAAACTTGCCCCAACGAACACACCAATTATCACCGGACGTTCTATTCGGGGTAAGACGGTACCCACTACCCATCCATCTCTGCTCTGCTCTCAGGTTGTCAGTCGTCCATCACTGAGCTTCTGACGAGGACACGACCAGCTGGCCAGTTGGTACATCCCTGAATTGTCCAAATCCAGACCTGCGTTCAAGTTGCAGATAGATAAAATAGGAATTTTCCAATCACAGCTGATGCCAGATAACTCAGGAGCGAGTCAAGAAGGTGGGCCGCAGGCCCGCACACGGCAGGAAAATGAAGGACGGGCAGTGGGACCGCCTCGCCAAAAGCGGCGAGGAAAGGACTCAGCCTCTGTGTGATCTGACGCGTGTGTCTCATGCGTGCAGGTTTGAATACGAGGAAAGGAGTCGGCCTCCGTGTGGTGTGATCTGACGCTTGTGTCTCATGCGTGCAGGTTTGCATATGTGATGAGTGCGGCGAGCGGACAGGGCCTGGAGGGCGCTGCTCGGGAGTCTTCTGAAGCTGTGGTGGCCGGACGGGCCCCTTTGACTTATACTGTTGCAGGACAGAGCAGTGGGACCGCTCGAGGTGGCGAGGCGGTTCTTCAGCCTAGGTAAGTATCACATCGTGACTTACCCTTGCCGTTGATTAGATTTAAAGGTATTCGCATGTCAAAAAGGTATTCGCATGTCAAAAAGCGATTCTTGAAAACTGTGTGGCCATCAATGCAGGAGATACAGGGTGCCGATGAGAAAGGGTCCTGAAGAGCCAGTTGTTCCTATCGAACTCAACCATAGTCCCAGGGCCACGTCCCACTTATGCTGATTCTTGATTTCTGGTCGTTGATCTTCCAAATCTGCAGTCAGAAATAGATCATTCGGGTAAGTGGGACTTGGCCCCCGGTTGTTCCGAGGGAGGTGGCCGATGCAGGGTTGGGACCCTCATTGAGAGACTTCTGCATTCGTGGAGTCCCACTACCGTAGAGGTGGTTTAGTCTCTCGGGTGGGGACATTGCTTCGCCATCGCATTACGCATTTGCCCCGTTCTACCCCTTGGCGTTGGTTGCCGTTTTCGAGGGCCCTCACTTCACTACATTTTGTTGGGCGGTTTCAGACCGGTCGGCACTGTTCTTTGCAACCGCCGGTCGTTTTATTTTTTTCAGGATTCTTTCATCACTCTCGATCTTCATCATCTACGGCTCGCGACAATTTTGGATGCTTCTGGATCCCTACCGGCTCACTGGCCATCCACATCTACGGAGGCTCTATGTTTGACTCTGTATCTACGATGGGTTTGAGGTTTTCGTGAGGACTCACCCGGGATGCAGCAGACTCTCGCTGACTCTCCCTCCGCTGCTTCCGGGAGCTGCCACTGTATAAGTGAGGGAGGCAGGACCGGTCGCTGCAGGTTGAGATGATTCGCGTTGTGCTCCCTCCGTCGTGCGCCCCCCAGCTGCAGCGCCCATAGCGTATGCAAATCTGCAAGTCACGTCACCCCAGCCAGCCAGGTCATTTGGATGAGTGGTCGTTTTCACTGGCCAATTTTGGCCAGGGGCTGAGAGTGTCTTACTCTCCAGCCCGCGGACCAGAGTCACTCCTTTCCACCTGCATTCACTTCTAAGTCAACTCACCTCCTAAGCCTTCCGTCCCACTCGCTGTCCCAGTTTTTCCCACGTAACTCCACCTCTCTGCACCACTCTGTCCCACCCACCGGTCTCTAAGCAGCCCCGAGCCTCGGTACCACCAAGTGGTCATTTTCAGGACGTCGGTCTCAGCATCAGTCACAGGAGGTCGGTCCCAGCGTCTTCTACGGTCAGTTAAAACTCCGCCTGCCTACGAAGTCCGGTAAGCCAGTTCTTTTCCTACAGTAAAACGATGAATGACGGGAGCAGACCCGGTAGTCCACTTCTGTCCGCTGTGGCCCCTTCACCTCCACCCGTCGCCTCTCTCTCCATTTCTCTCTCAAACCAACCACGATCATCCTCTCCCTCGCCTAGCTCAGCCTCCCCCTCCCTCTCCTACCATTCCCCTTCCCCTGACCATCGACCTCTCTATGATCCCTTTCTCAAGCACCACTTTCCCGTTCATCTCCTCCTCCAATCTTCAACTCCGACTTCACCACAAACCCTCATCTCCTTTTTCTCCTCCCTCATCACCGCACCTTGCCCAAGCACCTCCTCACCTCCCATCACAACTGACCCCCAGCTATTAAAGTTCTTCGTCATCGACCCACCTACACCCACTATCCTTCCTCTGCACCTCTACCTACTCCCTCTCATCATTCCTTCTTCTCTCATCCGAATTCAGAGAAAGCAGGTTGAGCTCAAGTATGGCGCTCTCCTCAACCTCGACGACCTCATCAACTTTCTCTACGACGCACGAAAGTTTACCTTCTTCAACAAGGACAAGTCGATATACATTCTCAAGAGAGACTGCGCAGTAGAGCTTCTATCTTATTCCTTCTTCTCAGTCACCCTCTTCGATCTCATCTCTATAGACTCTCGAAAGCTCTCCTCCCTCTCTCCCAGAGAACTCCTCAGAGCACGTCTGGATTTAGCCAATTTTCAGCAAGTCTGTGGGCACGAAATCGCCTCCAACTTCTACTGCTTTGCTATCTGCATCGCCAACCTCAACTCAAGAACGGTCTTCCCGTGGGTGAAAAGAGGACTTCTCACTTTGGCTGCCAATCTTCCGGCCATCGCGTCATCACCATACCTCACTTTTCCAATCTCAGACTTCTTCAAGGACTTCATCGCCTTCCTCGCTGACTCAGCAGTTCAGGAGCTGCACCAATCGAGCCGGTGCAATTCGTGGACACATTCATTCCCGACTACCCTCGTTTTGTCATCTCCTCCAACCACCAAGGTTGCAAGTCCTTCCACTTCCGTGACACTGACGCCGAGCGCAATGAAGAGAGCAGCCAAGAAGCAGAGCCTAACCACCTCCAGGAAGCGTAGAGCACCAAAGACTGAAGTGGAGGAATCCTCTTCACCAGATTCTCCTTCGCCTCCGCAGCAAATCCCTCTTCCCCCGCTCTTTCTTGTCACCAAACCCCACTCCCCTCCTTCTCGTCGATCCCCACCTTCTTCTCTTCTTACCCCACCCTCTCAGCCACCCAGAACCCCTAGGCAAAGAAGGAAGCCCAGAATCTGTCGTAATCTGGACTTCCTAATCTTCGCTATCCTCGCCATCTTTTTTCTACTCCATCTTCTCACAATCTTCCTCCTCATTCCCTCAACCCCCCGCCGTTACCTTCTACCTTAAATCCTTGACATCTGCCTCCCCTGATTCTGCGCTTTCGGATCTCGAATCCTCGTCGATAATTTTGCGCCTTCCCGTCAAAGTAGCATTCAAAAAAAAAAGAAAAAAAAAAGGAGAAGGCAAGAAGGGTGGGGAAGAATAAGGAGGAGGAGAAAATTAGGATGGAAGGAGAATAGGTCGAGGGAAGTTACGAGAAACTTCAGATCACATATCACGGATTCTAAGAATCCTCTTGCTGATTTGGCTCATTTGCTTTGTTCCTTGTTAATTTCGTTCTTCAGCATCTGCGTCTTGTATTTTCTCTCATATCCTCCCTAACTTCTCACCCTACCGATCTAAATAAGCGGGGTTGTCGAGCAGGAAGAAAAGGAATGAATGATTGAAACGCTGACACGTGGCACGTCAGCAGCTGCAGCTGAGTGGTTGTAGCAAGCTGCTGCTGTGTCGCGATGCGCACACACGAGAGAGAGAGAGAGAGAGAGAGAGAGAGAGAAAGAGAGAGAAAGAGAGTTAAGGAAAGAGAGAAAGAGAGAAAGAGAGAGAAATTATTCTGATTTCAGCTTCTCTTCGGAATAATAAATCCTCAGCAATAATGACTCTGATTAAACCCCTCGACTCCCTTACCCACACCCTTCGAAGCTGTTTTTCAGTTCAATAAGGTCACTAAGCTACTCATGCACTTATCCACCTTTTGATGAGCTAACTCCCCGAGAAGGAGCCCCAGTTTTTGATCTTGCTCTAGGACTATGATGTCTGCGTGTATTTGCCTTAAAAAAAAAAAAAAAAAAAAAAAAAAAAAAAAAAAAAAAACCCGAAGAGAATGAGCAAAGGATTTCGACAGCATTATTCATCTGCCTTAAGACACAGGAATCTTGAACATCTCAAGACCGTGAACCGACCATCTCTCTGAGAGCACCTCAAAGCCCTATACTCTTTCAATACGTACGATGTTAAAAAAAAAAAAAAAAAAAAAAGAATGAAAAGAGGGGGAGGAAGGACTCAGAGAAAAGCAGATCTTAGCATGCCGGCGCTGCTTGCCGCCTATGAGCAGCCATGCAACCCAGGCATTTTGCAAGTCCCACCCCAACTCTGACCGACTCACCCCACCTTAAAAAAAAAAAAAAAAAAAAAAGAAGGAATGTCAAGAGGACCATAGTGTTGTGTGACACGTTGGTTGGCGGCGTCCGTGAAAACGTCCGCCCTCCTTAACAGCCCATAAAGAACCGCTGCGGGTCCAGGACGACCACTCAGGAAGTCGGCCTCGTGGGATCCGGTTTCTCTTTTTTGCCCCGCCACAGCCGCTGACATCTTCGTAGTGATTTTTTGCATCTACATTCGTAGTGTAGTGGTGGGATCGGCCCCTAAAAGAGAAGACTCTAGTTCTATCAATACTGCCTGGGGAAGCCTCCCATTTTCCCAGCAGGTGGCCGCAATACTAGGCCCAATTTCGCTGTGCTGACCTGCCAGAAACAGGTGCTTCCCACCATAGGTTGGAGCCATCGGAATCACTGGATCCCATCCTTGGAGGATGCACATATCACACTCTAAGAGTCAGTGCCTCGTGGATGTTTCTCACCAGGAAAAAAAAAGGAGACAGGTGTAATGCACGGCC